TCCCGATACATATTGATGGATTGATGGATCGCGCACGAATGCTACATGTTCAATATTTATCGTGTCAGTATTTGCGAAATTTTTGTGCTGCACGCTTATATATTTTATTTTGCACGCAAAAAAATATTTTTATTTTATACGAATAATTTACAGATAATGCATCCCATAATTTTTTCAAATTTCCAATGGTAATTTAAATACCTTCAATTTGCTTTGCAAAAAGTATCATGATTTTTAAATCTTTTGGGTTCTTCCGTGTGTGNATTGCACGGGTATCGGCAAAAGAAACAACACACAGCACACACGTTCACCGGTAAAGCAGCTACTTTTGGCAAATTTGAGTATTTCCGAAGATAAATGCAATTATTTAGGAGCACGCAAAAACACGTCCTACTCGGTTGACATTCCTATACTATAGTTCCGAACCAGTTCTAAATTCATCACCTTATAGATTTCTAATGGAAAAGGTGAAATAAAATAGTTTTTAAAGTACCACATTTCGCTGATTTTGAACTGGTGGGAATCTAGTTACTATCGGACTGGTTCGTTTTGCGATAAAGATCAAGTACGGAACTAGAAATTTGATTCACTAGTCTGCGGTATCCCTGCAGAGAACATACATATTACGCTGAGGGAAAAACATTTTGTAATCAATCAGAAACGTAATTTNAAAAAGTATCATGATTTTTAAATCTTTTGGGTTCTTCCGTGTGTGGGATTTTAAATTATTTTCAAAGAAATGTGTTTTCAATTTGAAATTAAATTTGTTTGAATGATAGTAATAAATGTACGTTTACATACCTTCGGCTGTAGCTGAGTTTGCAGAGGTGCTTGCTGTTATTGGTGAGATTCCAGAAGATCCCAAGATGTTAAAATATGAACACAAGTTTTGGTTTTGTATTACAAAGCTATGAAAAGGCATCTGCGAAGTGCAGAATGGTAGCGAACTTGAACAAAAAAGCCGCCAACACATAACTATGTAAAGTAAACAAGCCCCCGCTGCATCCCTTTTCCGATAGTCCCGAACTAGTTCTAAATTCGACACCTTATAGATTTCTAATGGAAAAAGTGAAATNTGGTAAATATTCAATTCAATTACGCGCATATTAAAATGACCGCGTTCCTTGTAAAAAAGCATCCCCGAAGTGCATAATCAAGATAAACACAAAAAAAATATTTAATTTGTATGTTGCCGGCAGCGGAATTCGAATCCTGATCCATTCTGGATATCAACAAATTGTGGCAAGCATCTTTGCGCACTCAGCTACAGCCAGACATATAAATGTGCTTTCAAATGTTGAATCCATCAACATGCGATTTGTACGGATAAACACCCCGCTAGCAAAGAAACGTAAATTTTGCCGACAGTGCAGTTAAGTTCAATTTTTCGGTATCAGAAAACTAATAGAAAAAACTCCTACAGTTATCATCAATTTTCGTATCCGGAAAACGTTCGAAACGTTCGAAAATAAATGTTGTCATTTGAAAGCAATAATCTATATACATATATAATACGCGAAGTCATTTTTTGTTCCGCATAAAAGATCTGCACCGTTCGTTCGATTTTCAAAAAATGGGGTGTCAAATTAAAGCACTTGGGCTGTAGTTGTGCAAACTGGTTTTATTTTTTCGAAAAGAGTTGCTACCTGTTGAACAATTAAAATCAAATTTTTCAATAATCAATACCATCAGATCCGTGTCAAATTAAAGGGCTGTGCAATAAGGGTTTATTTTTTTGAAAAGAGTTGCCAACTTTTAAAAACTTATCTATATTCAAATTATTTAAAAAAATGGATCAGTTATTCAAAGTGGGTATTAATCGAAATATTTTTGAAGCTTTGTTTTTTAACCTAACTATAGGAGGGTTGCCACCTGTTTATAAAAAAATAAATTCAATTTGAATTAAGGGAAATAGGTAAGAGAAGTATGTATGTATCAACATATGGGTGCCAAACGAAATGGTTTTAAGGTAATGGTTTGAAAATATTTTGAACAAGATTGCCACCTGCTTTAAATGTCTATACAAAAATTATATGAAACATCAAAATATGAATGTCAAACGAAAGCGTGTTAAGAAATCTTTATTTTCAACGCTAAGACTATTTTTGAGGTGATGGGAAAAGGTTGCCACCTGTTTAAATAGTTAAATTCAAAGTATTTAATAAGTTAAATGAATTATTAAAATTTCGGAATATATCTAAGAGGGTTTCGAAAATCTTTATTTCTGAACTATATTTAGTGGGGTTGCCACATGTTTAAAAAAATCAAACTCAACTTAATTTATCACTTAATTAAAATATATATCGCAATGTTAGACAAAGGAGCCTTAACAAGAGTTTAGCTTGAAAGTACTTTTCAAGAGGGCTGCCATCTGTTTGAAAGGTTTAATTTAATTAAAAAGTTACATTCAAATCATTCAATAAGTTCGACGAATTATTAAAGGATGGGTATCAATCGGAATGGGTTTAAAAACTCTTTATTTCTGACCTTTATTTAGGAGGGTTGCAACCAAGAATGATAGAATACAAGATTGCGCCGATCAGAGAGGATTTTTGAGAATAACTTTTGTGTGACGTCACACTGGTGCAATTGCGAGAGAGAAATGCCAAAATGTGAGCAAGAATGGAAGAAGAAGAAAAAATGTTGCAAGGAAAACGTAAACAAGTTGCACAAGTGTGACGTCAGGCAAACAGCGATTCTGTCAAATTCGTTAAGAGAGGAATAGCGGTCCGAGATCGGCGCAACCTTTGTATTCTCTCAATCGTGGGTTGCAACGTGTTTGAACAATCAAATTCAAATTAGTTCATCTGCTATTGAAACGCACATGTATCACAATAGGTGTGTACGCGTATTGAGAGGACAAAATTCTCCAGCAGCAAAAGTTCTGAGAATTTAGCAGCATTCGCTCTCAAAGAGACGAAATATACAGAACAGAAGTACGAGAGCGCAAAATTTGCAAAAACTTGCAACCTTCGAAACAGCTGATCACTTGCACAGTTGCCACTGGTGATTACTTTGGCAATTTATTTTCTGTTTGGTACATTTTCCCCCGATTTGGCATTTTATACAATTGAATAGTTTTCGATAAGAAAAATCTTTTTAAAATACAAATTAATTATGGCTGCATTTCTTTATTCATTCTGAACGTTTGGAATAAACTTTTTTGTTTACTTATTCTTTAGAACGTTCCTGATGATATGTTAACGTATATTTCAAACGCATTCTATTTATTCCGGCTGTGAAATGGGATTAGCCGGAATGTATAAAGAAACGTAGCCATATGAATAAGTTATTTTTCTCATAATTATTTGTGATATCACATGGTGACGCATTCAAAAACAAGAGTATCTCCTCCAAACACCCATCATTGATCCAAAAACAATGTAATAGATATAGCACAGATGTAGCTTTAAAATTATAAAATTTTCATTTCAACAATCAACCTACCAAAACCGAAAACTTCAGCAAAACAACATTTCAGCATGCTGCATTTGAATCTATTTTAGTATATTTAAAGGTAAATTATAGTACAAACGAAAAATGTTATACGGCAACCATGGTCAGCGAAAAATAAACACAACCAACGTTGTGCATAATAAATTTACTCACTTTTTCGTTGTATACTAGCATTAATAATAAAATTTGCAATAAATAACTCAAAAAGGCCATATTTTCTTTTGTTTATTTACAAACATGTGTTTGTGATCAGCTGATTTTCTAACTTGCAAGTTTTAGCTGGGAAAAATTTTTCAGCAGAAATTTGCAGCTCTCTTTCACATTTTGCTCTCGCAATTTCCCCTACTTTGCAAGTTTTTTGGGCACGAGAACGCAAAACCAGTAAAAGTTTTCTAAAACTTTAGATAGTTGGGCGTACGAGTACACTCTTAATGTCATGCGAAAAAGATTTAAGATTTTTATTTGAAAAACTTTTGAAAAGGACTTCCACCTGTTTTAAAAGTCGAATTTAGTTAACGTTTACACAAGTTTTATGAAATATTTAGATATGGGTATGAATCGAAAGAAATTTATGAAAGCTTTAGTTTGAAAATATCTTTAATTAACCTGGCCTACTTTAGAAAAAAAACATATCGATCTAAAAGTATAGGTATATGTATGTGTATTATACGAGAAGGTATTTTGTGTGATAGTCATTCGATTTTCAACGTTCTTTTAAATTTCAAAAATGAGAGGTCAAGTTAAAGACCATAACCTGTAGATGTGCGATAAAGTTTTATTTTTTTACTTTAGATTTTTTTTATCGGTAAATGGTGATTTGAAATTTGATGAAATCAAAAACCTGCAAACCTTCACTAAAAACGGCTACACGGATTTGGATGAAATATGGCATTTTGATCGCTTATAACTGTGACTAATGTTTGGAATATTTTTTAGGGTTTTGAAGTTCAATAGGAGAAAGGAATGTAGAGTGGAAGGCCTCTTGACTCTTAGGAAGGCCTTTCGGAAGGGGTTTAATTCCTGAAATTATCTGCCGGGATATGTACACAAATGTGAAACCTGTTTTCGGCAGACTGCCCACTCCAGTGTGCGTTCGAGTGGTGGATTGATCAGTCCGACTGGGTGTGCGGAGGCGCGTTATGAAACAGTAATTAGTTTTCTCCTTCAACTTCGTGTATACGAGCACGCGACGTTACCCCCAGGGTACTGAGCAGTCGGCGTCGCTCAGGCCTGGCCTTCACTCAAGAGCTTAAAATGTTATATAAGAAATATCCACCCATTTTGGTAGATATTCCTTACTACACCACATAAATAAAATTTCGATTAGCGTACGCTCAAATTGACGTGTGGTTTTAAAGTAGGTTTCAGGATCTTACTAAATATTATAATTATCAGTTAACTTTATATAAGTAGTATTTTTCATATACACAAGGTACCCAAATAAAATTTTTCAACCTCATACCTGGCATTGCATTTAACGTATACGAGGTATTGTGCGCCAAGGGACGATATGCGCTATACTTGCATATACATATAGGCCAATAAAGGTTACGTATATATATATTTATTAAAATTGTGGTTTCTGTGAAAACAAATGTTCAAAGCTACATATTCAAAATCGAAAACATAAGTAATTAAATTGGTACTACAAAAAATGCAGTCTTATTAATTCCCTTTTGTCAATTTTACCTGCTGAATTGCGATTGATAAAAGGAACAATTCGAAGCTCGTCGGGACACATATGGGACGGTATCCACATTGCACAAAATGCTTGGATATTTTTTAAATCTAAGGTAACGCCTTCTTCAAGAACACACAAAGCATACATTTTTTCTTTCCATAATGTGTGTGGAACGCCTACAACTGCAATATCGATAATTTTTGGATGTGTGTGTAATAATGTTTCGATATCGCAGCTTGAAAAGGTTTGGCCTGCAATTCTTATAATGTCGTTATCATTATGCCCTAACAATCTGAATACGCCCCTTTCAAATTGGACAATAATTCCAGTCTTAAAAAAATCTTTATAGAAGCATGTTTCTTCAGTATTCCTTTGGTTGAGGTATCCTTTCACAACAGTCGGACCAGCCACCTGAAGCTCTCCAACCAAAGATTCCGGCACAGCGGTGCAACGCATTCTTTCTGAAGTATTTACGGTTGCTGGATTCTCGAAGTTGGGCTCTGTAGACGTAAATATAATTTCTTCCTCACAATTAACAATACGCATTTTAGTGTGTGGCATTGGGAGGCCTACCATATCTTGTGGTTCTTTACATGACTGGCTGTTGGGAAAATGTGAATAACGTAGAATGGTTCCTGTTTCAGGTGTTTCATAATATGGAAGAAGTTTATGACCGGTGATTATATTCCAATAGTGGTATATGTTCATTGCCAACGGTTGTGGTCCAGATATCATAAGACGAAAGTTATTTTCGCAAAAATTTTTTATGAATTCAGCCATTCGTGTATTCTTAGAAAATATTTTGATATATGTATCGATAACTTTTGTATAAAATGAAGGTAATGCTGTGAAGACATTAGGCCTCTCTTTTTTCGGTACGTTTACATCGAGCATTCTATTCCATATGTTGTTGCAATCTATATCGTTATAAAAACCGACTTTTCCTCCAACACTTAACAAACACATCACCGAATGTACGCTAATAGCTGAGTAATGTGCAGGCAAACAGTTTAGTATGTAGTCATGCGGTTTGAAGTTCCATGCCTGAGTTGCTACTTTAATTCGTGATTGCAAGTTCTTGTGTGTTATCATGCATCCTTTTGGCTTTTTAACATTATCGGTGTTATAAACCAGTAATGCATCAGAGTGGTAATAGAAATCGTTATTCAAAGTACCTTCAACGAATACATTATCACCGGCTACTAGTAACATTTTTTCCAAGAAATGAGGAGAATTGATATGTTCTGGCATGAAATTCAGATCCATAATAATTAGAGGAATGTCAAATAGTTCAGCAAGCATCTTGGCCTTGGTTTCGTATTCTATTGCACATATTATAAGCTTTGTGTTCGAGTCGCGAAGAATGTAAGTAAGCGTTTCATTAGAAAGTTCATACAAAAGTGGCAAAAAGACTTGTCCTGACATCCAACAACCCCATTGTGTTAATGGCAATAAAGCGTCGTTTTTGCAAAAAACAGCAACGTTGCTTGATGAGCCACTTCCTACGAGTAAGGTCAAATAGTTAAATACAAATTTTTAACATTCATTTCAAGTGTATTCACACGGTCTTCAAAAGTATATATCTCAAAATTTATAATTTGTCATAACTATGGCCTAGATTCTATGGAATTTTGCCTATATGTTCCAAAATATCTATTTCGCGTTTTCTTGATCAATGAAAAACACAAAAGTACTCCTACCATTATTTCTACTTTCTTTGTAGGTTGTTCTATGATTCAATTTCCTTCCGTTTTCACATACGGTCAACTTGATGTATTAAAATTCCATCATATACATAGTTCATAGAAAGTTTTAAAAAGTTTTAAAACTACGAAATAACAGTGATGTTAAGATTTGGGGTAAAGTCGATGTGTGGAAGTTCACGACTTCTACTACTACTGCTGAAACTTCTAATTATCTATCTCGAAACGAAGTTTTGTTTCGTCTGCCAGACATTTCGTTCGTAAGACGATATCGACTGGCGTCACGACAATTGAAATGCTTCGAAAATTAATTCGTCAACATCATTCCAGCCAGTTTTAACGTCATCGAGACAATTGCAACGTAATCGACGAAAAGACAAGACCAAGTTACAAAATTGCAAGCAGAGACGATATCATCTGCAACCGAATCGTTAGTACGGCCAATCTTTCGAGATAGGTAATCCTATAGGGAAAATCGCCAGTTTTGAAATGACAAAAGAAAAACGCCGAAACACGTAAACTTAATACTGCGGCGTAGATGGTGAATCTGTATACCGTATTTATAGATCAGGTAATTTTCCGAAGATATTTTAAGGTTTATGAAAGCCGGTTCTTTTGCCATAAATAAACAAGCTGTGAATGGTCAAATGAAAATGAGTAATAATTTATGTAGGAAATTTGGAGCAGGAAATAATGATACTCATACGCCATAGCGTACATTGGCGTACTCGTACATACTCCTACAAAGCGTATGAGTAACATTTCCATATTGAAGTTTAATTTTTTTTTCATTCGAAATGCAAACTTGAAATGAAAATATCTTGTGAAAATTACCTGATCTAGAAAAACGGCAACAGATCCGTAATCTACGACCTAAAATTAAATTTACGTGTCTCGACGTTTTTGTGTAATTTCAGCGTACCTACAGTGTAATAAGGCTGTCACTTCGCAGTGATTCACAACGGATGCATAAACCAAATTTCGATACGCTTTGAAATCAAGAAGTGCATTGACTATCATTTGTTTTCAAGTCAGTTTTGCATTTCTCACATCGGTTAGAAACCATGCATTTAATGCGAAGTAAAAATCGGTTGGTTTTCTTTACACAGCCCGCTTGTAATACACTATAAAGGCACAGGTATGAACTAGGGCTGCCCCGTTCGAATATTCGTGTTTACGGATAAACTAGGTTATCCGATTAATTTGATTATCCGGACATCCAGATTTTCTAAACAGTGTTTGAACGGATTGAATTGTTCTCAGAATTGAATACATTATTAAGTTGCAAAATAAAAAATAGAACACTTCATTAATACACAAACGATCTTTATCCCAGCCAGCGAAAAATCCGAAAACCGATCCGGAAAAGGACAAAAAAGCGGATGAAGTGCGGATTTTTGTCCGTTTTCTGATTCCATTTCCGTTTTGACACTAAAGCGTGCGGGAGAAACCTATGTATGTACAGACAACAGTATGTGAAACAGATACGTTTTCGGCTGTTTTTTCTGAAATTTGTCTGATTGAATTTTTCGTTCAATACGCTTTCTTTCTGCACTTCACATATATTTTTTCATGGTTCTGGAAGCTAACGAATAGCGGCACACTCTGCACGCTCGGCCACTACCGACTACGCATGTATGCTTTCAAATGTTTAGCTTAAGCAAATAAAATACAAATATTGCTTTCAAATGACATCATCTTTTTCGAATGGTTCGAATGTTTTTCGGATAGGAAAATTGATGATAGCTGTGGGAGTGTTTCTATTCGTTTTCGGATACGGAAAATTGAACTAAACTGCACCGTTGGCAAAATTTACGTTTCTTTGCTGGCTGGGATCTTATTTATGGTTACTACAGGGACAAACGAGTATTTGAATGATATTTTAAGATATCACAATCAGATGCATAATTCAATAATGAAAGGTTTTGTAAGAAAAACCACAATATACAGTAAACCAGCCATTGATAATATGCTTATTTGAAAATTAATACATGAAATATTGTGCATGTATAGGATTTTTTGTCATTAACCTATAGGCAACGACTGGTGCAAATGTACCCACAACACCGACTTTCGTTAAAATATCTATGCTGTATACCATGGTACAATAATTACAGGTATTGTCTTCCCAGAGAGCGCATATTCCGATCTGCCTTATTTGAAAAATATCATGGTTGCCCACACTAAAACGTTTACTGCTAGGGAAAAGGGATATTTCGAGGGATATATACCATATATGTACACGTATCATGATTCAATAATACAAGGTTCGATAAACTGACAGTTGTCTCTCTCGCACCGCTCCCTTAGCAGTGGCACCGTGTTGCTTCTTTGCAAATTTACATGGAAACAGTGTAGCTTTGTGTGAAATAAAAGTATAAGCTTTTGTGCAATATGTTTATTTATATATGCATATGAAGCATATTTAACTGATGAAAACATAAGCAATGGATGTTTACATCAATCTGATAGTAGTCTTATTTTAATTTTAAGTCATTTTGCAGTTTTTATACAGCTAAATAGCACATAAATTACGTAATTCACGTAGATATATCAATATTACGTTCAACATTTCGTTTAAAATGCCAGATTTCCTGCAAATACATTAGAATTTACAAAAGGAATTTCACTACTAAGTGCTAATTTGCGTAATTTTCTACTACCATTTTCGGACCAAGAGATTTCATTCTTCCCCTTTCTCCGTCCTTCGTAAATGCAACCTTTTGTAAGGGAGTGTCAAACCGCAGCTGTCAATAATTATCTAACCTTGTATTATTGAATCATGTACACGTATTATATACGTACGTATATAACAAACCTTCTTGCAGATAACTTATTTAATTTGCAAAAGCCAGAAAAAAATATTTGCTTGTAAATGACTTCAAAATTTGTATGGCTCACTTCATTTCATATGTTTATTCTTTTGTTTTGAATAATTATAAAAATTAAATTAAGCGAAAACAAAAAGCAAAGCCAAATAGAAGTAAAAGAATCAACACTGAACTGCGTCAAAATGAAAATAAGGGAGCACGAATTTTGATGTGAAGCAAAACTCTCTGGGAAAACAATACCTGTAATTACACTGTGGAACAAATTAAGGTTACCAAAAGTTAGGTCGATTCTGAGAGTGAGGGGTGAAAGTAGAGGCTAAATTAGAAGACCCGTATCGCGGCGTTTGTTTATGTTAGTTCGAATTTTTTTTAATCGACCTTCGAACTTTGCAGTCAAATGCCAATTTTCAGCATATTGTTTATATGGTTTTTTGGCTATAGCTCGTCGACTAATTGATATTTTTTCAATCTGATAAAGCCAAATTATTGCTAGAGACCTGTGCAACAATTAAATTAAAAAAAAAAATTGATTTAGAAAATTTTTGTAGTGCTTATCGCAACGC